TTACCAGTCTGATCGATGTATTCTGAATTCAACCAGATTTTTCTTTCCGTGTGTATAAAATACAGAAGGATGGAAACATTGATTACTCGACGAAACATTGAGACATACATTACTCAACTCTAGGGTATTGCGCACGCTATTTAAATAACACCTCACTCTTTTAAGCGGCACTTCGACCGACGTGCACGCAAATTTCCCGTTTCCATCTCCGGCCCGCCGATTTCCGTGCGATACCGGGTGCTGGAATTTCGCCAACGAGCGTCGCGCGTCGTAACCGCACGCGTTACCGTAATCCAGCTTGTGTTCCTCTTAAAGCACGGCCGATTACGATGGGACGAACGCGAAACGGTGAGAACAGGAGGAAAAGAACACCTCACGCCGTCTCGGACCCGTTTCGACCCCGCGGCGGCGGCGGCGGCGGTGGAACGAGCCAGGGCTCGCGCGCGTTTCCTAATTATACCACGTTTCAAAACCTCGCGGCGGCAACAGCAGCAGCAGCAACGGTACAGCCGATGAACCAATATGCTTTTCTGGCTTGCAACATTCCCCGGACTCTCCTTATTCTACGTTGCGCGCGCGGGAGCAGCTCGCCGAGCGGCAGGAATGCGGATTGGCCAACAACGGACCGACATACGAGTCGATCTCTCGATCGCCAGCACCGGTACGACACACACGTCCGTCTGACTCGCAGCCGCTTGTTGTTGTGTTGTTGCTCGTGTGTTTGCCTGACTGTTGCGCTTGCACACGCTGCAGCGACACGTGGGTGCGTCGCATATATCGTACTGCCGGACAGCCGCGCGCGTTCCGAGATAACGCCACATATGAGCGAACCGCTCGCAAACACACCCTAAATCGTGAGTCCGACGTGGTCCAATGGAATCCGAGCGGGGAACAATGTACGTGACAGCGGACAGGTATAGCTTTTAACGCGGGAGGATTTACAATCGTTTGTCCGTTACTGCTAGGTGGTGTCGATGCACCTGCCTTTGGCCCTTCAGTAGGCGTGCACCTCTTTTATCTTACTTTGGCCTGCCACAGATATATTATCTACCAAGATTTCTTAATTGACTTCACGAGAAGATTCTCAATTTGTCTCTCATATATGTATGTCTGTTTGTATATTCTTCTTTATAACATGAGAACCGTTGGAGGTAAAACCTTTTGTAACTCCTTCAATATGTTATGTCTTATGGTCCTTGGGTTAGTATTATTCGAATTTGTTCGAATGATGCAGAATTTGCGTAATATATCACTTTCTTGAAAATTCCAGAACGTCTAGAGATATAAGATGAAACTTTTATTCTTAACCGACTCCAAAGAAAAAATTTTTTGTGAGACTGACTTTCAGTTTATATAATTTATATTTTAAAATTTTATGTAATTTTATTCTAATTCTAAATTTAATTTTTGTTTAATTTTAAATCCGTTTTTACTTTAAGCTGCCACTTATGTTGTCTTTATTGAAAACCGAAAAGATAATCTTTTTACGCATTTTTACAAGGCGTCAGTCAACCTGATTTCATTTCATTTAAGAAGGCTGATTTTCAACACCTGTATTGATACATCGTAAATCGGTCTGATATATCCTATATATGCGCGCGAGCGATACACTCTCTCCCCCATTCTGTGCGAGAGCGCACACCGAGTCAGATCCGCGACGAATTAGTTCATAATCGTTTCATTTCCATATTCACTCACACTTCTTTTTCAGCGTTGAGAACAGAGAGAGGTCACCTGACGAGAAAAACACACCCACATTGATCGATTTCCCCTTCACTCGGAAAAGCGAACACGAACTCCGCGCGCACTATCGATACCTTCGCTTCGATTCCAAATGGCGTATGTCATCTATTCACTTTTAACAATTTACGGAGAAGAATGCGTTCGGCGCTTCCTTCGAGCTTCCACGCGGTGCTATCGATGAGAAAAAAGCACGAGCTGCTAAATAATACAAAAGTATAACAGATAAAAATATGTCGCGTCTTCTTAGTCCTTCGCAATGATAACCGAATTCCAAAGCGATTAGAATTTCGTATTTGTTTCCTACTTATGTCTCGCGCAATCACGAACTCGGCGAGCTCAATCGAGGGCAATCGTTTGTTCCCATTCACATTTTTACAGATGTACATACATTGTCCCGAAAAAGTCATAACCGAAATCCGGTTGTTGGGACTGAGTCGAAATTTTAACCTTATTTTAAACCTGAACTTCCTAACATATCTATTGTGTGAGTGCAAAAATTTTTATAGATTTCTCAAAGATGTCGGTATTGATCCAGTTTTACAGCAACATTTACAAATATGTAGATATATTATATACCATTAAAAAGATTATACTTTAAGCTATCAAAATAAACAGAAATTGGTTTAATTCGATTTTTAGTGGTTTTGAAGTAAAATTGAAAATGGATATATATTGATAGAGTCTAAATGGATATATATTGATATATATTGATATATATTGAAAATGGATATATATTGATAGAGTCTATTTGTGCGATATGTTTGGAGAGAAGGCTGTGTCGATTGCAACCTATGAGAGATTGCAAAATTTAGACGAGGTGATGTTAATCAGTCACGCTCCGGTCAGCCTTTTGGCATTGATGACAACATTGCGCAATTTAGTGGACATCAATTCATATCATGATATTTATAAATTTCATCTCACTGATATTGTTACAAAATAATTAAAAAAAAAAACTTTATTACTTCAGCTATTATATTTAGCCAAAAAGGGTCATTTGATCAACTTCCTTTATATTCGTTCCCTTTTTACTCTTTCCTCCTATCGTTCCCTACAATTGCTTCTTATGCTAAATATTTAACTTATCCTATAATACTCTCGGAGGTTTTGCTATTGCCTTTCCGAAAGGAGTACGAGCGTAAGAAAATTTTCGGTTCTACCGAGTATCGAACCTCTAGCATGATAGACTGGTATGCAGTCTGCTGTGTTACGCTCGCACTCTTGTTGCAAAATAATTATTTCAATAATTATAAACGATTTAATTAACTCTGAACGACTTAATTTTATTAATAAAATACTGACTGACTAAAGAGTAGCACCAGAACCTCCTTAACCGGTTCACTGGTAAGCACACATATATGTAGGAAAGAAAAGTGCCACAACTGGTAAGTACACATATATGTGTTCGCTGTATATCTCCGCCAGTTTTAAACGGATTTGCATGAAACTTGCTACCCTCATGTTTTTTGGATCGCTGATTAAGAATCCGAAGTCAAATTTGAGAAATTTAAAATGACGGATCCAATATGGCGGCTTCAAGTGATTAACTTTGATATTTCATTACAGATACGGAACAAATATAGTATGATATTCGGTATGATTCCATGGATACTCCGTTCCCTAATAGCACAAATTGACGTCCAGAAGATTTCCAGAGTACGTCCTGAGAACGTCCTGGGAACGTTTCTACGTCCTCAGGAAATCTGTGGGACGTCCCCAAGAGATTTTGTGCTGTATGGGTTATTATGGGAAATATTATGAATTTTATATTATAAATTATAAAATGAAACAATATAAAAATATATTCAGTACTGACTTTAGAGAAAATTTGACCCTGGAAATATAATGAACAATATAAAGGATATTAGTTTTGGGTGCATAGGGTAAAAGTACCGGTAACGGGACAAATTTGACCTCGAATTCGTAATCAGCTACCCAAAAAACCCCTTATTAGATAAGCTTTCATGTAAAATGCGGAATTTTTTGTTCTCACCAGTTTTGGCACGAAACGTTGGTTCCGAGTTCAACCGGCTAATAAAGACTATCGTTATATGGTTTCCTACCTCGCTTCGTCGGCGAAGACGAACTTTCGGAGTTTGAGGTCCCTCAACACGACTCCGTACTCGTGACACTTCGCCACGGCCCTGGCAGCCTGCCGGAAGAGTCGCCTCGCCTCCGGCTCGCGCAATCTCCTGCGTGCCCTTACGTAGGCGTGCAGGTCGCCGTGGTGGCCCTCCAAGAGGAGATAGCGCCGGCCTCCGGATGCCTCCACGACGCCAGCCACACCGCTTGCCGCGCCGGTGCCCTCCAGACGAAGGTGGGCCTGCAACAACGCCTCGCAACCTTTGTCGCCCACGGTCAACGCCTGCAACCAATCCGGAAATGCTATTTACAACAAGAGCGATCAAGAGCCGTCGTTGTCCGCGAATTGAGGGTGCGCCGGCGGAAAGCTCACCGAAAGTCAATTCTAAAAGTATCGGTAAGTGGACAGCTAATGCTTTAATTTGTATTTAATAACCACTTTTTAATGGCTAATGTTCCACTTGTGAAATGATACATTTTTACTGAATAAAGTTACTTGATATATAATTTTATTTTTCCACTTTCTTCAGAAGTTAATTCCGAACTGTATCTAACGTTTTCAATATAAAGTTTTGACGCTAATTTGGTACTAATATCAATTTTAGTATTGATGCTATATTTTTTGGAAAACAATTGCACTAATTTGATACTGATGCTAGTATATTTTTGAGATCCTAATTTTTTTTTAATAAACTTTACTAATCCTAGAAAATTAACAGATTAATCTTAATTAAAATTGTTTGTGAAATAATTATAGCGTCTAATTGATTAAATACTTGTGCATGTATGTGTATATAATTACGTTCTGGTAAATTTTGTCCACTCAAGTTAGGTAAAGTCACACTTAAGAGTAAGACGAGCAAGAGTGATAAATTTTTTAAGTTCTCAAAAAAAGAAAAAAAAGAATACAAGTTTTTCTTTCTTGAATTATATCAAGTAGATTCTTGCAAATAACTTACTTTCGTTTAATGCTATGTAATCTCATTTGAAAATTAAATCTAAAAAATGAAGATATTTTCAAGAATGACTTTTTCTGTATAATCATACGATGGCGGGCAAGGTCGCCGCGTGAAAGGGTTTGAGACTGATAAAACTGCGTGCACCCACCAGGCGGCGGCGATGACTGACGCAAGTTTTCCTATCGTATTCTAATTAATAATTGGTTCAAATTGCGGTTATTGAATGCGAAACTACATTTATCTATAATTATACGATTACACAGTTCTACAACTGAACCGCCGTCAAAGTCAGATTCTATAATCTACGATAATCTACGATATAATTTACAATAAAACCAAATGAACAAGAGAAAAGAAAATTTAATTAACGTCCATAGATTATGAAAATTACAAACGTAACGGCGACTATTTCTGAAACTTTGTTATTCGTCCGGCTGTTCATCTCTCTCGGGTTCGTGTCGAAACCCGACACCGTTTCGACATTCGAGTCCCATTAGTTTAATAAGAGCACCAGTGCGTTCTTTACGAAATCGCCCTGACGCCCCGCGAACGGCTATCGATTGCCGCTTCGGTAATGCCCCCGATACAGAAAAAGCGTATTCGACCGAAAAATGTTTTAGTATCTCTTCTATAGGTTTTATGAGCAAACCCCGTAACCTTATCCGATTTCATCGATTACGGAAATGTCAATACTTAGGAATTTTACTTAGGAATTTTACCGACAAAATATATTTTTTGCAAATTTTATGTCGTACTGTTTGCACAGAATGATAAATACAAAAGCTTTTACACAGAAAAAATACATGCATAAAATGAATTGGAACATCGCTCAATATGTAACTAAACTGATTAAATTTTCAAAATTAACATCTCTCGAGCTGTTGACGTAAATATTTGGCTGATACAAAAGAAATGCAGGAAAAATTAAAGTATTTTTTAGAGTTTTTTTATTTGCATGTATAAAATTGCAAATACTTATACAAAATAAAAGTACCAATGAATGAATAATAGAATAATATATTATATATTATATAAAAAATTTGTAAATAAATTTTAATATAAAAAATCTGTAAATAAATTTTTTTTTAATTTTTTGTATAACCTAGGATACTCCAATATTTATACTTTCATTCTGTATAAACATTTACAAATCTATACAATTAAATAGAATAACTATAAATACGAAGCCGTATTACGTCAATATTTTTTTAAAAGAACTTTTAAATTTTTCCTCGTTTTCCTCACATATAGAACAACGTTCCAATTCGTTTTTGCGTATACTTTCATGGTGTAACAGTATTTGCAATTATATATAACCAATACGGTGTAAAACTTTGCAGAAAAGAGTCATTTTGTCGTTAAGCTTTCAACAAAAAGATCGCGAATATATAGGTCGACTTAAAACGCGAATTAACGAAACGTTTCACTCGTGTGTCCTTGAACTCCTTTACTATCGAGGGGGTTAGTGCATTTATCGTTACTCCAGATCAGCGCTTGCGACCTCTTCGTTCCCCGATCAGCGATTGTGACAGACTGAACTAACTGCGACCGCCAGTATTCTCCTCTTTGATTCTTTTCGACATCACGAACTCTCGCGATTTGCGAAAGCGCACGTCACACGGCGCTCTCATGTAATTGTCAATTATATTAAACGGCCATGGCTCTAGAAACGATTATGAATAACGGACGATGCGGCAACGCGCGCGTATGTGACGGAGGAGGTGAGGTGACGCGATGAGGCCCCGGGTGTGCGAAGTGACAGCCTTGTATTTGTTCGCAGCGCGATGATGTAAGCGACTCATTGTATAACGCGCGGCGATTGTAAAATGTTAATGAAAACGTGGCAAGAGAGTCGCGTGTCCCGCCGGCATCGCGTACGCGTTTCGTGACGGGCGTATTACCATGTAGCGTTTGTTAATCTCTCCGAGATATATCTATCTGTGATTTTCAAAGAAAAAAAAAAGGGGAAAAGAAATAGAACATCGAGAGAAAGTCGCGGATGACAGTCGATTGCGAATGTGAAGTCGAAGGTCTCGAATAAATGTAAATCGGCGTGAATGCAACGCAAAATATGTATTAAATGATAATAATACTTTATCGTGTGCATATTTAATATATGTATAATATGGTATGTATAATATATGTATATATGGTAAAGTAGGATATTACATGTGTGTGTGTGTGTGCGCACGCGCGCTGTGAGTTTGCATGTACTTCTACGCGGAAAAAATATTATAGCAAAAATTAGAACAAAATTTTTTTTAAATCTTGGATCATATAAGAATTACGAATAAAATTACTATACAGATTGTCTGATATTAAACGTCCCATACCTCGTACGTAAAGATTAGGTCAAACTACAAACACAAAATTCCTCTATCATTTTACAAACAACCACGCAAAATTTTCAGTTATTAATTAAAGAAGATTGACGAATGATTATATATAATTTACCTCTTGAAATTTTTAGTAGTCTTAAAGCGATACATGATAGAAAGATTCAATTGTAAGTGATTGAATCATCATAGAATGTGCTATCTTGACATTTGAGATATATAAGAGAAAGAGAAGAAAAGCATTGAAGCATCCAATGAACTTGATTAGCTCAGTTGATGAAGTAGTTGTCCTGTAGAGGGGAAGGTCACGGGTTCGATTCTCACAAGCATGAGAAATTTCTGCTCTCTCCAAGTTTCTTACATTTCCTTTCCGACTTTTACACAGAAGTTCCGTACTTGAAAAAAATTATTTCAGCATGTAATTTTCATTCTTCGCTTTCTAAGTTTCTCGTACTCTCGAAATTAATCCCATAATCACTAAAAATTGCAAGTATATCTTACAAGGGGAAGAGACATCACGTACTTCTGATTCAACAATTTTGATAAAAAAATTTTTTTTATGAGTAGTTTTCGTCCAATGAAGTTACTTTGCAAAATCATTCGATGCACTTCTCAGAATTTGCAGAGACAATTTTATAAAATTTAATGTACGCGCAAACGTACGCGCAATACAAATACTCGTAGAGTCGGTTGTTCCAACCTTTAGATAAATAAACTGATTTAACAAACGTTAAACCATTAATCATATTAACATTAATCATATTAATCGGATTATTAATCATTAATCCATTAATCTCTCCAATAATTATATTATATAAATTTCGCAACGTTTAAAATGATATTTATTATATAAGCATATAAAACATGTGAGTATGTGCAGTGCGCTTACGTTAAACTTTATGAATTTTTTCCCTGCAAATTCCGAAAAGTATATCAAATGGCTTTGCAAAAAAATTTCATTGGACGAAAACTACTTATAAAAATTTTTTTTATCAAAATCGATAAGTCAGAGATAATATCCTGTTGTTAATCGAATAAGTTACTATAATCAGTTACTTATTACTTAAATAATAAGTTACTATCGAATAAGTTACTTATTACTTCAGATCATGAATGATTATATTTTCAAGCGAAATGTTCTGCGTGTATGTATCTCTAACTCGCAAATAAGCTGTAAATACTCGAAGATAATAAAATGACTGGTATATGATATAATAATAGCAGCAAGAGATTATTATTGCGGATAACTAATAAAATATAATTATAAGATAATAAGTAATAATAAGAGACTTGCAGCAAGAAAATAACACGCGCGCGTGTACTTTACGCGCATTTGCGACACGTACGCATACACATCGAATCCGCCAGCAGTACCGGTGGTAAAAATTCTGAAATCCGAATTTGAAATTCTAATCTCGCCCGTGCGAGATACGAGAGTCGGTGTATTTGATAAGAATTGCTTAATAGGGTATCCGGGTTACTTATCAAGCTATTCAAGTAGCGTATACAAGTGATCGTATATCGTTGCGCTGTACGAAGAGTACAAAAGATTTAAACGTTAGATTCATTTCAACTGGCCGTGTACGTAAGGTATAATGGCGTACGAATTAAATAGGTATCCCGAAATATCGCTTCTTTTTCTCAATTAAACGAGCAGGTCACCCGGATAAAGATCAATTGGGCCTTCTTCAAGAAGAACGTACAACACGCGGTCTCATCCCCCAGACGAACGCATTATTACGTTGCCGATCTCGCAACGGGTCTCGTGATGGAGGATACGATCGAATCGAACATTAGCGAGACCGTTACACACGCGTCTGTGTGCCCCATTATATAATGCCACAGGCATAATACGATGGAGACTCGGAGGCAGCTGCAGTGCGCCGTGGATGGCATCCACGTGCACTGGCGCGTCGTCGTCAATATGTGCCACGCCAATAGCACCCATTATTATACGACGAGAGGCTGAATCGCGATACCGTCATCGAGAACACGTCGCGAGACCCTATTTACTCGCCGCTGCATTCGCCAGCACAATCTCGTTACATGCGAGTGACGTTTCAGCGTATTGATTCCCTATTTAAATGGGACCTGTTAATCTTCTGTTTTTCAATCAACGACTTAGTGTCGCGAGATTCTTTAATCATTTCGAACAACTAAAATGATTCCTGAAATCTCTGAATATAGTTGGCTCAGTCTCTATAATAGTTCTCCTAACTATTCAAGCTTTAGTTGCAATTATTACAAAATAGTTTGTTAAATTGATTCTACATGATGTCCCGGAGCAATCTCCGAAGCTCTTACGAAGACATAGTACGGATTAAGGTGAACATAAAAGTCCTGTGCCGTTTTGCGATATTCGCAATAACTATCGAAGTATTAATTAAAGATTTGTGAATAATCAAGAGATTATGGTGGATGAGCTGTAGAGTGACGACATCTGCCGTTGTGTACATTAAGTCAAATTGAATAAAAAAGTCCTCTATCTTTTTTTTAATAACTTTGTAGATTTTTAGTTATTAATTAGAGAAGATTAATATATTATTGCGTACAATCACATAGCAATTTTCCTTTATTAATAACTAAAGATCTACGTGCAAAATGGTAAAGGACTTTTTTGTTTAGTTTGATCTAATATATACAACAGTATACATCACCACAGTTCATCTACTATATCGCGCATAATCATTCACAAATCTCCTTTAATTAACATTTCGATAATTATTACGAATATCACAAAGCGGTATAGAACTTTTGCGTTCACTTTAATCCATACTATGCCTCGGAGAGGCTTCGGAGATTCTGGAACACTCTGTATATAGTTATCACACACACACACACACACACACACACACACACACACACACACACACACACACA